AGATGAATCCCTGCTCTGGTTTTCATACATGAACTCATAACAGGGTTCCCAGCTGCCTGATTCCAAGGAGACCCCACAGGAATAAATACTTTCCCTTTTGTTCAAGCACAGCCTGTGCAAAGACTTCACACAGCTCTTTTGAAAGCAGTGGAGCTGAGCTGGTTACACTGTTCAATCCATCCCCAGCTTTGGGGGGTGCTTAAATCTCTGCATTTTGTTTGCTTTCAGAGTTCAGTCTTGGGGCAGGGAGGGGGGATATGGATGGAAATTTTAATTTGAATATCATTTAATTTGAAAAAATCCTCTCTCATTCAGGAGAGCTCTCCTTGTGTTGCCCTCAGAGGAGCACAGCAGAGGCTCTTAACTCATCTCTGTTTTTCTGCAGCCAAGAGATGGGTTTTTTTTCCTCCTCTCCAGCTGCTACATTGATCAAAGTACAGAACTTTCCTGATCTTTCCCATGTAGACAACTGCTGTCAGTGCCACAGGGTTGCTGTGATGGGCACGCAAAGGGAAGGGCTCCACCAGCTGCTCCCTCTTCAGATGTGTTACATCCACTGGAAAACTTCAGTGGTGGTGAAGCAGAGGCAGATCGAGGGAAGGCCAGGGTGCCTTTTAGGATAAAAAACTCATTTCTTTGCCAGATCCCTCTGAGGGCTCTCTAGGCATGTGTGCCTTTGCTTTCTGCATCACCACCTCTTTTTAGCTCCATTTGACTTTTCAGATGCAGCCTAATGAAGCCAAGGAAGGTTTCTTTCCCCTGGAGAGCAAAGGCAAAAGCTGGTACTCTATATAAAGTTCCAACTTTCTTCTGGAAGTGTTTCATGACTGTTATTTCATGCTCATCCCCTGTGGTTCTTAATCTTTGAAGCAACCTCCATCTGCCAGAATTTCTTCCTGGGGGTGATGCAGAGTTTTGTTTGGGCTAATCCACAGCTCCTGTGTGGAGCTGAGGAGTGGAAGGGGAACCGTAGAATCACTTTGACTTGAAGAGACTTTTAAGATCTTCAAGTCCAAGCATTCCCCCAGCACTGCCAGGTCCCCATTGCCCCGTGTCCCTCACACCACATCTCCACGCCTTGGAAACCCCTCCAGGGGTGGGGACTCCACCACTGCCCTGGGCAACCTGGCACAGCCCTGGGCAACCCTTCCTGTGAGGAAATTTTCCTGATATCCAATCTAAAGGTGTCAAGTTGTTGCCAGAGGACTGGAAGAAATATTTATGACTATTTTTTTTCTGGAAACCTTGTGTGTGAGATTGTCCTCAGTGTTGTGGAGAAGCATTTTATAACTGGTTATTGTCATAGCAGTTGTTCAGCTCAGGAGGAAGAGCTGTTGATTTGGAGCCTTTTAAGTTTCTATCAGGTCAAATAGTCCAGCTCAAAACCTTGATCTGTGGCATGGCACCAAGATGTCCTTAATGCCCAAGGGTTTTGTGGTCACCTTTGAGACACTGAAGCATCTTCCTGTGCATAGCAGCACGTTGCAAAGCAGCTCGGGGGGGTGTTTATTGTAACTTCAGGTTCCTTTTCTCTTGTGTTTTGCTCCAGGGTGTGTTTTCAGTGACTGATATTTGACCATATTGTGAAATGTCAAGTCGCTGCGGAAAATGCACCACGTGAAATGTCAGCTTGTCTGTCTGTTGTAGGATGATGACTTAGAAGAAGGAGAAGTCAAAGACCCCAGTGACAGGAAAGTGAGGCCACGTCCCACCTGCAGGTTCTTCATGAAAGGTAACGATGTGCTGTAGCACTGGGAGGGACCCAGAGCTCCTGTCATGTTTCTGCTTTGGTTTTGTCCCCACTAAGGTGCTGTCTACATGAGAAACTCTGCCTCGGGTGTCCTCAGTGTCACCTCTCCCTGCTTTGGTGGCCAGATGCTGGATTTACATAGAGCCAATATGCAAAAATTGCTTTGCCCAAAGTGTGGTGAGCCCAGTAGAAGCAAATTAAGGAAGACTTGGTAGTGGTGTGAAACCAGCATGGCCTAAAACTGCTTGGGCTGATTTCATGATGGGCTGTTGCTTAGAGGTTATTCCGTGGAAAATTCAGTGGCAAACACTTGTTATTTCTTAGCAATAATTTCTTAGCAGGGTTCCCAGGATGGCATCTGGGTGGGTTTGGAATCTCTCCAGAGCAGGAGACTCCACAACCTCTCTGGGCAGCTGCTCCAGGCTTGGGCACTCTCATGGGAAAGGAGTTTCTCCTCCTGTTCAGGTGGAACCTCCTGGGTTCCAGTTGGTGCCCATTGCCCCTTGTCCTGTCGCTGGGCACCACTGACAAGAGTCTGGCCCCTTTAGATATTTCCACAGGCAGCCCAGCAAGACAATGTGTTGAGGGATGGCCCTGGACCTGGCAGAGTGAGGTGTGTGGGTGGCCAGGACTTCCTCTGGGCTGAGGAAATGATCAGTTGGAATAAAAAATAATCCTTGTGTCAACAGAAGCTTTTTCCCCAAGCCGGAAGATTGAGCCAGAGTTGTGAAATGGGATTGGGCCTGGCAGCCCCAGTGGGAAGGAACAGGGGTAGGAAATCATAAAATGGATTTCTTCCTACAAATGAGACCTAAGACTTGAAACTTAAAAATCTAATCAGTTGGGGTTTTTAATAAGACATTCCCCAAAGGTTGTGCAGCTGCCGCACCACTGTCTTAGACAAATATTCTTTTCCTGTATAGGTTTTCTGAAAGTTTTTAAACAGATCATAACTCTTCCACTTCCTTCAGCTTCACCTCACTGAACGTTTGCTTATTTACTCGGGTTTATTTACAATTGCCCTTGAAAGGATTTATGAAAATGTGAAGTTGAAAGCAGGGTGGAGGAGCGAGTGGAGCCTCTCCCTCCTTGCGCAAGCGGCGCGTGCGAGGCAGGGAGCTGCTCAGGGGGGTTTCCAGAGACCTGGCCATCAGATATCACAGACTTGGCTTCCTGAACGTCTCCTGGTCTCAGATCTGAGGCACGAAAAAGCTGGGGATGGAGGTGGAACAGGGAAGTCCCTTGGCAAGGAGGGGTGTTTGCCCCGAGTCCTCAGCCTGACGTACGCTGACGTGCAGCCTGGAAATATTTGCCCGAGTCAAAGTTCAGGCTGCAGGATCTCCTGCTGCTGTTGTGCTTTGGCTTGGTGTGGGTTCAGGTGATGTTGACATCCACTCTTGCTCACCTTAAAGGCTTTATTGCCCCCAGGGAGATGAGGTGCTGCTCATGTGGAAGCTTGAAGACATTCAGTTTTTTGTCCTTGCTGTGTCTGAGGAGCGTTTGCGTGGCTGCCTCTGTCCAGTGGTGTGAATGAGCAGAATCACAAAATCATTTGGGTTGGAAGATTGGGTGAAGATCATCGAGTCCAACCATGCCCCCAGCACTGCCAGGTCCCCACTGCCCCGTGTCCCTCACACCACATCTCCATGGCTTGGAAACCCCTCCAGGGGTGGGGACTCTACCACTGCCCTGGGCAGCCTGGCACAGCCCTGGACAACCCTCAAGGGCAAGAAATTGTTCCTCAGCTTCAACCTCCCCTGGGGCAACTTGAGGCTATTTCCTCTTATTCTGTCCTTTGTTCCTTGGGAGAAAAGCCTGACCCCCACCTGGCTCCAGCCTCCTGTCAGGGAGCTGTGGAGAGTCAGGTCTCCCCTGAGCCTCTTTTGCTCCAGGCTAAATAACTTGTGATGTTTGTCATTAATAAGATTTGAAGAGCTCACAGGCTCGTTACTGCGTTTGCTTAGTGGTGTGTCTGCATCCATCCCTCCATTCCCCCCACTGTAATAAGGTTTTTCTGTCCATGACTGGATCCATTTGTCCTCTCTGGGAAGCTGGGGAGTGGCAAATGTTCGTCTGTATGAAAACAGGTAAATTTCAACAAAGTTAGAAGAAAAACACTATGTGTCAAACAGCATTATTCCTTGGTGGATTTTAAGTGCTTGTGGGGCTGAAGTACTGCTTGCTGTAGGCACACAGGGGTGTAACAGAACCATATTTCCACAGGTCACTGTACTTGGGGCATGAACTGTCGATTCATTCACCCCGGTGTGAATGACAAAGGAAACTACTCCTTGATCTCCAAACCTGAGCCCTTCTCCCCAAATGGTGCTCCTCCCATCGGCCCTCACCCACTGATGCCAGCCAACCCTTGGGTATGGACTTCTTTTCTGTGAATTTATGGCTTCTGCAAGTAGCTTTTGTCTCCTGCTCTTAGAAGTCAAGAATCTTTTTTTGAGCTAGTACTTGAGCAAAACTCAATACATCCATTGGATATGGGGTTTTTGAAAGGTGGTCTTGAAGTTGCTAGTGGAGAGGAATCATTTTCCATGTGGGCCTGGGGTGGGTTAACCCTGGCTGAGCAAGTGATGCCCACCAAGCCACTCTATCACCCTCCTTTCCTCTCCCTCCTGCAGAGCAAAAAGGAGAAAGGAAAATAGGATGGAGACAGAACCCTTTGTGGGTAAGAACAAAGGCAGTTTAATTGAAAAGCAAAGCCAGGCAATGCTGTGCAAGGAAGCAAAGGGGGAAAAAAACCCAAAGATTTATTCTCTCCTTCCCATCAGCAGGTGATGTCTGGCCCCTTCCTGGGAAGCAGGGCTCTGAAGTTGTTCTGGAGGACCAAGAAGTAGCCCACCCACACCCCCCTTTATGCTAGCTTTATAGCTGAGCTGAGAACACCCTCCTGACTCCCACCACAACAGCCCTACACCAGGAGGCTGCAGGGGGACAATCAGTTCAGCCAGAACCAACACAGTGCCCTAACTCGTGTCCTGCTGATACTGTGGAGTGTCAGGAGGTGCTCAGGGGTATCTTGTTTACAAAGCCTGAGTTTGTGACTTAAAACTAACATCAAGTGTCTGTCTCCTTCCTTCTCTCACCGTTCGGACAGGGAGGACCTGTTGTTGATGAAATCTTACCTCCACCCCCTCCAGACCCTCCCACAGAAAGTGCCTGGGAGAGAGGACTCCGGCATGCAAAAGAGGTAAATGCCAACCCCAGGAGCTCTTTCCTTGCTAGGAGAGCTCTTCTTGGAGCATGGAACTTCTGGCTCTTTTTAAGGAGCCTTTTCCTTAGTATTTTCCTGCCTTTCAACCTATTGCTGTACCTTGTATATCACAATCATTATGCAGTCAAGAGGAGCTCACATCTAGGTTTGGTTTTTTTATATTAACATGAGCTAAGAGAAGTTTGTGGCCCTGAAGTCAGGCTCTCCACAAAGCAAAACTTGTAATGCTGATCCAATTTCCCTTCCTTCAGTACCTGTTTTTCCAGCACCTGTATGATCCACGTGTCTAAGCACTGCAGAAAACAGCATGTGTGAATCTTTTCATTGCTTGTCTGCTGCTGTTAAGAGCTGGTGGAAGAGTGAAATACACTTTCTGTGTCCCAAAATGTCCAGGGTCCTGAGGCCTGGGCAGAAGAAGGGCGCGTTAGCTCGGAGAGATCCCTCCCAAGGGAAGGATTTTTGACTCCTCCAATTTCCGTGCCTCGGAAACGTTCTCTCTTTGCAACTTTGGATTTTTTAATGTCGTGACAGGTATTAAAAAAGGCAACGATGAGGAAAGAGCAGGAGCCTGACTTTGAGGAGAAGAGGTTCACCGTGACCATCGGGGAGGACGAGAGGGAGTTTGACAAGGAGAACGAGTTTTTCCGCGACTGGAATTACCGCATCACCCGCGACGTCAGAGACCCAGCGTGAGTTCTGAGCTCTCAGTCCTGCTTCTGCTCCCTGCAACAGATGGGTGGGAAGTGTCCCCAGTGCAGCCCGGCAGCCTGGAGTGAACTCCTTCCTCCCAGCTGGAGGAACGCTCACCTCAGGAAATGGCAAGAGCTTCTTTTGGGCACTGGTTAAAATCCTGAGCTGCCTCCGCTCGCTCCAGTTCGACACCACCTTCCTCTACACTCTTCTACAAACCTTTTTGCCTTCCATGTCATTGGCCACACTGGTCCCTCAAGGACCTTGATTGTGCACTACCTCCCTCACAGCAGTGTGTTCCTCCAGCTTTTTTTTTTCCTTTTTTATCTTACTCCAGCCCCTGAGAGTTTTAAGATGCTAAAGCTGGGGCTGTGAAGTTGGAGATACTCTGACATCCAAGAGCTTCAGGGCAACAGTTGTCCTGCCTGGACTAGCTGGGTGTTTCTTTGCAGGGACAGGGGCACAGCAGCTGGTCTTAAACAGCTGGACTAGTCCCAGATAAACTAGTAAGACCCTGGTCAGAAAGCAAACCTGGTAGTTGTCAGGGCATAGCCTGGGCCAAAACAAACACCCTAAATTTAAGTGTTCAGGTGACTGGTTTTTTAAGGAGGTAAAACATATAATGTTGGAGACCTCAGTACACTCCTGTTGTGACAGAGCAGGCAGAAGAAGGTGCAAGGATGAATCAGTCAGCTCTGAGAGATTTGCTTAGTAGTTCTTGAGCCAAGAAGTGGAATGGCAAACAAATTTTTGAGAGAGGGACTTGTATTCTGCAGCAATACAGGTGAATCTCCTGTTCTCTCTTGCTTGTGCTTCTATTCTTCCTAAGTGTACAAACATGGATTATTTCTGCTTACAGAGAAAGTGTCTGAAGGGCTTGGTTTTGTCTATTTTAGAGTGAAAGAACTGCAGAAAAAGGTCTGAAGAGGAGCAGGTTAAGCTTTTATTCAATAATCTTTGCTTTGCTCTGAAGTGCAGTTCCCTTCCCCATCTGAAAACAGTTTTCTACTCAGTTCTGCAGCCTGAAACAAAACAGTTGCCCCATAGTAATTTTTTCCTGGGTAAAAATCTGTTTGTATTTCAGTCTTCCTCTGAGAAGGCTTTTGGTTGCCCCTGGGATGTGTTATCACCAGCACTCTTGGGTTGACCATGCAATATCTCTATTTTATGACTGTATATGAAAATTTACATCAGTGTTCTGATTGGTTTGTGCCTCACTGATGAAAGAATTGTCAGGTACAGGAGTTCCCACTTATTCATACAGTCAAGGAAAAATGCATTGCATGTACCCAGTTTTACAAAATCAAACAAATAGAATTCCTGAAAATTCAGGTGCCTTTGTGTATAACCAGGCTGTGGCATTAAAATATCTTCATTGTGTGTAAAGGTAAAAGTGGCAAAGCTGCTGTAAACTCAAAAATGGTACTTTTTTTCTGACAGCTGCACACACCTTACCACAAAGATTAACACCTTGCAGCAAACTAAGGACTGGTGGTGCAGCCTGGATGTTATTAAATGTTTTCAGGACTGTCTTGTGACATATGAGATGTCTAAATAGTTCATGAATCCCTTTTTCTTTTTTGAAAAACTATAGGGAGGTGGACATCAAAGAAAACATTAACTATGGGTAAGCAGGTCTTTGATTCCAGTACTGTTGCAACTGTAAGAAAATATTCCCTTTTCCTTTCTCCATTGCACTTTGAAAAACTTCCTAGGCCACAGACCCCTGTCCCCTCGGGTGTGGTGGGCCAGTTATTCACCAAATGGACCTATTTGAGTTTTACTAATTATTCACCTAGGGATTTAAGCACTGAATTATCAAAATGCAACCAAATGGACCTATTTTAGTTTTGGAGGTGATACTGATTATTCACCTAAGGATTTAAGCACTGAATTATCAAAATGCACAGGAGTGATGCTTGTTTAAATGACTAAAAAGTCCATAAATGTTACAGGATGGGGATGGGGAGATTTGGATTTGAGGTTGGGTTAAAAAGCAAAATGTTTCAGGTTTTGATGTAGCTTGAGATATTTTTGTCTCTTTCAACACCTGATGCCACTGAATCCAGACTCTTGTCTGGTTGGCATCAGGGGTTTGTTGCTGGATTAAGGTTCAGGATTCCCTGCTGCTCTTGCCCTTGGTTTATTCTTTCAGACAAAATCAGAAACCTTTCAAGTATTTAAAAGCACTGAAAGAACTACAGGAGGCAGCTTGACTTTCAGGGCAGCACTTGCATCTTAGCCTGGTTTTGATTATTTGGTGCTTTTTAAAATGCAAAAGCAGGCCCTTTATTCCTCTTACTCACCAATCAGGGCCTCATCATGGATAATCTGGAATTTGGGAGCACTTGCTTTATAATCTCAGTTCTGCCACTGACTCCTCTGTGGCCCTGGAAGTTTCTTGTGTCCTGTACCCACCTCCCCATCTTCCCAAGGGATCTGCTGTTGTCACTGCAGGTGGCTGGCAGGGTTTGAGCCTGTGAATTAAAACCAACAAATAACTTTAGCAGAGATCACCAAATGGAGGAAATGTGGCAGGTTTGAGGAGGGTGGGGTTTAGATCCTTTTCCTCCCCTATAGTAACTGCAGCTTTGCAGTTGAGCACAGCATGCCACGTGCTCACCAGTTTGTGTGCTGCTGGTGGCACTGGGGTGTCCCCATCACCTCCAGTGGAGGTCAGGGTCCCACTTGGGGCATGAGGGTGCTTGAGATGGGGTCTGTGGGCGTGCATGGACAGAAACCACAGCTCTAAATCAATGAGGCAAAACATGTTCTGTGACACTTGCATACCTCTGAAGGGGCTCTGAAAAGCGATTGGTGTTTCTGCATTTTTACCCCATTGATTTGAAGGCTGAATTCGGTTCATAGTGGGGTTTTTTTTTGCAGTTATCCAGAAAGATTTGGGCTTTTCTCTGGCAAGCTTCACTTCAAAAAGACCTGTCTGTTTGGGACGTGTAGAAAATAACCCACTTTGTATGGTTGTAGGGCATTGAACTTGTTTTTTCTTGTCAGTGCAGGGTGACTAAGGCCTGACCTAGAATACGTAGAGGTTCTGTATGGTGCCAAGGTGACATTTCCCTTTCTAACCTTCCCTGTTTTTCCTTGTAGGCTTGATCCCTATACAGATCCCTATTATGACTATGAAATAGAACGGTTCTGGCGTGGTGGGCAGTATGAGAATTTCAGGGTTCAGTACACAGACCCCGATCCATACCGTAACTACAGAGTAAGTAAGGTAATCCCCCTTTCCTCCCTTTGCCTTTCAGCTCTCTTCCAGGTACTCCTGGTGCTGGTCGTGTTTCCAGTGCAGGGGTTGAAACAGGACTTTTCACTTCTCTTCAAGAGGCTTAATCTTACAAATAGTTAAGTCTTGACTTAGTCACTGCACAGAACGTGGTCTAGGGGGATATTCAGGGTGATGAAGGCAAGACATTGGAGATGGGAAGATGGTTCCTCTTACTCAGAGCATCTGCTGGTGCATCCACAGCCATTCTTGGAGGTGCTGGCGAGGGAGGGAGTTTCCAGGAAGTGACCTGCCTGAGGAAGGGTTTGCTTGTTAGTTATTGGGACAGCCAGAAGGGATTAGATTTGGATGGGTGTGCTCTGTGTACAGATGGAGGCTCCAGCGTGACTGTCCACCACTGGTGGAGCTGCACGTTCATTGAGTCAGATGAGGAAAGCACCAGCCAGCTCCTAAAATCCCAGATGCAGCCAGTTGGTGTTGGACTGCTGTGAGGTGAAAAGAAGGCTATGGACCAGGATTCTATGATTCTATCACCCTTTTGCTCTGCTTCCTAATCATAGAATTGTTTTAGGTTGGAAGAGACCTTTCAGATCACAGAGTCCATCTGTTCCCCCAGCACTGCCAGGTCCCCACTGCCCCGTGTCCCTTACACCACATCTCCACAGCCTGGAAACCCCTCCAGGGATGGGGACTCCACCACTGCCCTGGGCAGCCTGGCACAGCCCTGGACAACCCTCAAGGGGGAGAAATTCTTCCTCAGGGCCAACCTCAACCTCCCTTGGGGCAACTTGAGGCTGTTCCCTCTTGTCCTGTCACTTGCTATACAAGGCAGTTTCTTTTGCCCTCATGCAAACTGTTGTGCCTTGAGAGCAGTGGCAGAAACAGAGACTCCTGCTCAGCAGGGAGCTTTTGGGTGGTATTTGTCACATCCTTTAAAATGTTGCTTTCCTTTTCTTGGCCAGCCTTTGGCCAGCAAAGAGGGGCCTGTCCTCACTGGTGTTGCACATGATGCACTGTCACTTATTGTCACAGCGTTGGGAAAGTCAATTAGCTCCTTATAAACACCACGAGCAGCGAGAGTAAACACATATAAACACCAACACATCGCGCTTGTTCTGCTTATTCAGTCAATTAATCTTTGTAGTCTTTGACAATTAACAGTGATGAACATGACGTGGTGGTTTTGTTCCTTCCCATTCTTCAGCCGCTTGGCAGCGACGGATCATTCCTCCCAGAGCTCGGATGCGGGGGGGGGCGTCTGTCACTGCCCGCGGCCCGAGGCTCAGGACCCTCTGCCGGGCCTCGGCACGCAGCCTCCACCTCCCTTTTTCTTTTCCAAGGAAAGAGAACGAGAACGGGAGAGGGAAC